TTCTTATTCCTTAATTCTGTTCTGGTTGAATGTTTGTTTCTTCCTCCTATTCCAAATTGTTTATTTGAGTCCCAGTTTCCTTCCCTTCATTGTTGGTTCCCTGTATATTTTTCTGTATTTCACTTTGTATAGTCTATACTTCTTCTTTTATTTTGCGGCTGTATTCAATCATTTCTGTGAACATCCTGATTAACAATATTTTGAATCTGCATCTGATAGGTTGGCTATCTTCTCACTGTTTAGCTCTTTTTCTGGAGTTTTGATCTGTTCTTTCATTTGGGCCATATTTCTTTATCTCGGTGCATGTGTTACATTGTAAGGGGCGGAGCCTTTGGTATTTGCCAGGGCAGGGTGACCCACTTTGCTGGGTTGTGGTGCTATATGTAGGGGAGGGGTCAGAAAGAGAACAATGTCACTTGCTTTGCTCCTGCCCCACTTCAGTTACTTCCCCCTACTACCCACAAGTGAATTGCACCCTTCTGGTGCTGATTCCTGAGTGGGTGGGATTGTGTGCATTCTAGGACCCTGTGACCCCTCCAACAGACTCTCCTGTGAGACTGGCAGTTTCTCCTGCTGCCACAACCCTCACAGGTTTTTACAGCTAAAGGTTTTGAAGTTTTCTTTTCCTGTCACTGGAACCCTGGGTTGCGTGGTCTGTCTCACTCCTCAGTTGTTTTTCCCAGTTTATCTGCATGGGAAAGTGAGACCAGCTGGTCTGCCAGCCACCGCCTCACCCACCTGTTCTGCTAGCTGCCACCTTGCCACACATATTCTCTGCCTGGGCTGCTGGTCTCCGCCCTTCCTACCAGTCTGGATGAGTGTTTCTTCTTTAACCCTTTGGTTGTTGGACTTCCAGACAGTTCTATTTTCCAACACTTCTGGTTTTTTTTTTGTTTTTCAATTGGTTGTTATCCTTCTTTTGGTTGTGCAAGGAAGCAAAGTGTATCTACTTATGCCTCCATCTTGGCTGGAAGCCTTGAGAATATGAAATAAATTATTTTTAAGTTAAAGAGAAACATGTATAACCATCTTTGTATATCTCTTTTGAAATTTTGACTTTCACTGCTATGAGTTTTTATTTTTTTATTTATTCATTTATTTATTTTTATTTTAAAAAAGACTTTATTATCTATTTTTAGAGAGAAAGGGAGGGAGACAGAGACATTGTTGTGTGAGATATTGGTTGCCTCTCACACACCCCCAACTAGGAACCTGGGGCCACACCCAGGCATGTGCTCTGATTGGTAATTGAACTGGTGATCTTTCAGTTTGCAGGTTGACGCTCAATCCACTGATACATGCCAGCCAGGGCTGAGTTTTTAAAATGTTAAAATACCCTCCAGTTTAAAAACTGCTTTTATTGTAAGTCATCAGTTTTTCAACTCCCTTTTCTAAAAATCTTGGATGTAATAGACTACATTTTTGCTTTAGTATTATTTATCTAATCATTCTCTCCGCACATTCTAGCCATTCAAATACTTTTAATACATATCATTATGTTCATTATTTTAGAATATGAAATCCAGTACTGTTTTTTTAGTTCATTAAGAATATTACAGGGAACTGCCTGTAGGCTAAACCTGCTTCAGCTATAGCCCCAGCAGCTTACCTCTGGGAATTTCTACAACTTGCACCACTCCAGCTTTAGCTCCAGGTCCCTCTGTGGCTTGCCCCTGGGACTACCTGAGGCCTGAGCACACTCCAGCTATAGCCCTAGTAAGCCTTGGCTTCCCCCGTCTCTGAACTTCCTGTGGCTTATGTATACTCCAGCTGGCCTGCCAAAGACACCTGGCACAGGTAGTCTACAAGAGGGTAGCTTCTACGCAAGGTCACTTCTTCAAGACTGGGAGAGGTTGCCTAATTCATAGAAACAAACACAGAGAGACAGCCAAAATGAGCAGACAGAAATATATGTTACAAACGAAAGACCAGGACAAAACCTCTAAAAAAAGAACTAAATGAAACAGTGACAAGCAATCCATAGGACAAAGAGCTCAAAATGCTGGTGATAAGAATGCTCAATGATCCCAGTGAGAACTTCAAAAAAGAGATAGGAAACACAGACAAGAACCAGTCAAAAATAAAGAATACAATTGAAATGAAGAATTTATTAGAGGGAATCAACAGCAGATTAGATAAAGCAGAGGATCCAATCAGTGATTTGGAAGACAAGGTAGGAGAAGACACCCAATTATAACAGAAAAAAAAGGAATAAAAAAATGAGGACAGTTTAAGGGAACTCTGGACAACATCAAGAGTAACAGCATTTGAATCATAGAGTTTCCAGAAGGATGAGAGAAACAGATAGAAACCTACTTAAAGAAACAATGGCTGAAAACACCCCCAACCTGGTGAAAAAAACAGACATCCAAGTCTAGGGAGCATAGAGAGTCCAAAACACGATGAACCTTACAAGGCCCACCCCAAGACATACCATAATTAAATGGCCCAAGTCAAATCAATAAGGATTTTTCTTTTTTTTTTACTTCAAGGTTGGAAAGAAACAGAAACAAATAAACTTAACAAAAATAATTTTTTAAAAAGAATATTTTAATATATAGGCTTGTTCCATATAAGTTTGTTATGAATACTTTACCTGACTAGTTGTTCCATGTAAGTAACTCAGTTAACCTACAAATGAGAAGGAGAATAAGGAGGTGGATGTAATCACCTGGTCTCTGGGTTCACGTACATATCTTCATTTCATGAGTCCACAGGCTTGGGGCTGGGTTCAGCTGAGAGGCCGAGAAGACTGTCTCTCTTTCCATGAGGTTTTTCATCTCCAAGGAAGCCAGCTGACCTTCTTCATGGAATCATAGCAGTAGTCTATGAAACTAAGAATTTGATGTGTGGCAAGGCCAGGTCTAGGAGAATGAGTGCATGGATATGGTAGGCACATTGTGATGATTTGGAATACAAATGCCCATTAAGTGTTGCTAATCTTCAATTTCTTTTTTCAACAGGGCAGCCAAATATCTAGATACAAAGATGCATATTCTTTTAATGATTGTTATTATTCTGACTTGGTGGTTACAGATATTTGTGGTAGTTCAGTAAATTAGGCTATTTGGTGGTCTAAGTCCCTAATATACAAACCCTTATCAAACATCTGTTTGTATCGTGTTGGCTGATGTCTTAGTGGCCAAAGTGGACACATGGCCAAATCCAGAGTCAGTCTGAAAGGGGAGCTACAAGGGCATGCATACTAAGAGAAATGATTCATGAGGCATTAATGCGACAATCTGCCATAAGATCATTCAAAATTATAATACATAACTATCTTAAATAATTATTAAAATGAGGGCATATTTTGTCAATTAAGGATATCAATTCAATGTATAGATCTTATTTTACATATTTAGTATTTGCATTAAATATATTATTTCCATTTATTATCAATATTATTTTGTGTTTCATTGAATTCATAGATTTTTAAAAATAGTATTGCTTCTTTTTCTTAAATTACTCTGCTTCTGGATTTCATTAAATATTATCAATTAATTTTACAAATAATCATAATTATATAGTGAGTCAAATGTTTTAATACTTTAAAGTTTTTTTTTCTTTAGTAAAGTTAAGCATGTCAAAGGATCAAAAGGAGGTTAATATAGTAAAATTACTTTTATGGATGAAGTCCTAATTTTAAAATCCTATATTCTAAAACAAAAACAACAAAACTCCAACTGCATATGCCACACAGAACACATGAATGTACTAAATTGAGCTCAAGAGCTAACAGCTTGCAAACTCTGGCTCAAAATAAAAGTAAATGGTAAAATTAATATTTTAATATAACAAGTCAAGTTTTTGCTTCATTCTAAGTGGTCCAGATAGGCCTTAAGACAGCTAGAATGTTAATGTTTTCCACCATCTGTCATTTCCAAAATGAAATCCTCAATCTAATTTGGAAAAAAACATAAGCCATACAGCAGACTGTTACAGAATTATATACCTATTCCTTAATGATAAGCATAAAATCAGTTTAATTTAGTTTTACAGTTAAAATGCTAGTTAAGAAAACATGCATACAAGTCTTTTAACCCAGAATGATTTTAATTGATGCCAATTGATAATAGTTGGCTAAATCAGGCGTGATTTATGATTAGTGTAATCACTTTGTCTGTTCCGGCAGAAATGGGATGTATAGGACCCTGCTATTCATAATATAGTCTGGAGACCAGTAACATCAGCATTACCTAGGAACTTTTTAGAAATACAAAATCTTAGGGACCATGACGGACATATAAAATTGGAATCTGCAATTTAACAAGATCCCCAGGGCCTTCTGTCCACAATAAAGCTTAAGAAGCTTTGACCTAGGATATGTTTCTAGGTCAAAAGGTGTCTTTTTCAAGGCACTTGAAGGACATCATCAGTGAGGTCCTAATGGTAGATGTGAAGAATGAGCACTTGAAGCAGGGCATTGACTCTGGCCTTCATGAGAACAGAGATGTTTGAATTGGCTGTAGACTCCCATGTGAACTTTTGTTATGGACCCCATGCAAATGTTATGTTACAGCTCCTCAAGCAGCTGAGAACAATTTTCATATAAATGTCATTTTTCTGAGAGGACACAGAATCTCCCAGATATACTTTTGCTGAAACTGACTCCTAAAACTTTCACCAGCACTTCAATTTTTTTTTTTTTTTTTTTTTTGACTCAGCCTAATAGTTTCCCTGAAAGCCTTTCTGCTCACATCCCTTCTGGAGGTATATGACATCAGTTTGTCCCATTATTGGCCATGTTATCTTAATCATTTGGTTAAGATACTATCTACCAAATTGCCATTATAAAACTTCCCTTTCCCTTTGTAATTAATGTGATCTGTGGAGTGATGTTTCAGATTATCTGAGTATCTTGTTAATTTTAGGCAATAATTTTAGTTTTCATTGATAATTCTAGCCAGAATCAATTGCTATGGTGAGAGAAAGATTGATTCTTTTACTCTTATCATTCCTTGTATGTTTATGAATGAGCATTTGTATCAAAAGATACAAAGATGAACATTCAAGGAGAGGATGAGAGCTGGGACTTCGGCACTGGCACTGGGTTTTATGTGAATGCCACCAAAGGGCCTTGGAAAACGAACTACAGGATGTACTCCTATGTAACGGAGGAGCTTCCCCAACTCATCAATGCCAATTTTCCGGTGGACCCCCAGCGCATGTCTGTTTTTGGCCACTCCACGGGAGGCCACAGGGCCCTGATTTGTGCTTTGAAGAACCCTGGAAAATACAAATCTGTGTCAGCATTTGCTTCAATTTGCAATCCAGTGCTTTGTCCCTGGGGTAAAAAAGCCTTTGGTGGATATCTGGGAACAGATCAAAGTAAATGGAAGGCGTATGATGCTACCTACCTCGTGAAGGCCTACCCAGGGCCTCAGCTGGACATACTGATCGACCAAGGAAAGGATGACCAGTTCCTCTCAGATGGACAGCTGTTGCCTGACAACTTCATAGCTGCCTGCACAGAAAAGAAAATCCCTGTCGTGTTTAGATTACAAGAGGATTATGATCACAGCTACTACTTCATTGCAACCTTTATTACTGATCACATCAGACATCATGCAAAATACCTGAATGCTTGAAAAACGGCGGGTAAGAAACTCTTCAGGATTTTAAAAATTGTAATAAACAGAATTGCAGGGGAAAAAAAGATTTCAAAACATTGTATTGCATAATGGTAAAAACGCTTCATTCTATAGTTAAATCACCTTCTGAATAAATACATGAAACGTAAGAAAAAAAAAGATGTCATTCATTTACATTATTTTTATGTAACCATGAAGCCATGGTTACATAAAACCATGAAAATTTTGTTTTGCCACCTCTGATGTAAGCTGCTTTCATTGAAATCTTTTCATTACATAATCACTTAAATTCTGTGGTATAGAAAGCACTATGATGGAAATATTAAATACTGGGTATGGTGGCATTAGCTTCTTCTTTCTTACTACTCACTTGTGGTTTTATGGGATATATGCCAGTTCCGCTGCATGAGATCAGGAGAACAGAGGCTTTAACATTCATACTCTGTCAGGGCATATAAAAGGTATTTCAGAATCTATACATTTCAAGCAATCGTTGACTGGTTCTAGTGTTTTGTAGTTAAAATGTTTTATTTTTTTGTCTACTTATTCTTTTTGACTTTGTTTTTATTCCACTTTACTTTTTAGCTCCCACTTCACTACGTAGAGGAAATGTGTGCTCATTTACATCTGTAATGCTATAAAATTTTAAGTAAAATTCTTACATTTCAATTTTAGTGAATAGAGGTTTTTATCAATATTCATCACACAATATAATCTACTATTTCTTAGCTAATAAATGAGTAAAGTTTAGTGCATTGTAAATAACAACCTTCATGGTGGTTTGGTTTATTTATTTTTGCCAACTGATTATCAGGAAAGTGGTAATTGGTTATTGGACAAGAGATAGAATGCCTGATGTGCCTATGTGTAGGCAGATGCCTGGAAGTTATTCTCACCTCCACAACTTAATTTTGCCAAGTTAACAGGCCTGAAAGAGATTGTGACATGTTTTCATCTATATTTTCTAGATAACCCTATTATATCTACTTATCCATCCATCCATCCATCCATCCATCCATCCATCCATCCATCCATCGATCCATCCATCCATTTATCCATCCAACCAACCATCCATCCATCCATCTGTCCATCCATCCAACATTTGCCATTTATATTGCACATCTACTCATTTCCCGGCATTGTTTTTGGTACCATATATACAAAGATGAATAAGACAAAATCCCTATCTTTAAATAACTCATTACTATCTAGGAACAAATCCTTCTTCAAGACCATCTTTCTTTTCTTTCTCACTTTTTTCTTCCCAGATGTGATCATCTGCTTGCATTTTTCTCCTTAATGCTGGTGCAGATCAAAGCTCCTTTTGAGGACTGTTATCCACATCTGCTGCTTCTGGGAAGCTGACAACCTCTGTGCAACACCTCTTAGGGTCTCCTTTTAAGCCCACTTGTTAGAGGAACTGTATATTTCTCTCAACTGCTATGAAATCACCGAATAGACAAATATGACACAGGGAGAAGAGGGCAAAGTACAATATTTTTCATGAGGGGATAAATAAAAATTTGACCTCTATAACAATTATTTGAAGTAGATAAGGAATGATTATCTTCATTTATTAGATAAAACGAACCATAAAGACACTAGTGACTTGCTCCTGCCCACACACGTTATGGCCAGAGATAAAAACAGAATGGAGGTCTTCTGATTTCTGATCTGGGATGTTTTCCATTATAATATGCTGTCTTTCTTAAAATCTATGGTCTGTTGCAGACAAAATGCCATAGGAAAATTCTTTCAGTAAAATAAGCAACCTGCTATCTAGGATCTAATAAAATGTGCTCTAAATATCTTGCTCTCCCTTAATCTTATCTTATTTATCCTAGGTCATTCAGTTATTCATACAACATACATACATACATACATACCATCAGAAATTTACCACGACTCAAATTATTTTACAATTTTGTGGATTTTGTGCCCAGCATTAATTCATGTCATCCTTTATTTGAAAATCTTTTGTATTTTTCTGGACCAAAATATTACTAGTAATATAAGAAATGTTGCTGAATCTAATTTGTTGTTGGCAATTAAACATTGGGAGTTCGCTGATTAGTTAGTTCTATCAGATAGACATTATTACTTATAAACTTGATTTAGTTTTTCAGTAAAATGATCTCAGCTGGGCAGGAGGGCATAATATTTCTTTCACTTTCTACTTTGACTTTATAGCCAGGGAGAATTTTATGATCATATAAGTTCTAGACATTGCCATATCCCTGCAATTTAATTCTATACACACTCTGACCAGGACAACCATTTCCAATTTACAAAAAATTTTCCCCGAAAGAATGCCCGTTGGCCCCAGATATAAAATTGACTGATGTCAATTATTTTAAAATAAAAAATAAAAGTTATAGGAGGGAGCTGTGTGGTGAAGAAATCACTAATGATTTGATTTTCAAATAATGATAGGGTAGTGCCTGACATGTACAGTAGAAACTTAATGAATGTTGTATGAACACAGGTTAGTTAATATATATTTATGTATCTTACTTATTGCCTTTTCTAGTGAGCCACTGACACCTCCAGCCTAAGTAAGGAGATCCTCATTATACTTCTGCACTCCATTGCACTCTGTTATACTCCTGTCTTAATTTGTCATCAATGCTGTTGTTGATGTTCATATCATCATTATTACTATATTTATTGGGTGCCAGAGGCTGAGGCAATGAAAGGAACTCCTCTTTCAAAGTTACTTAGTAAGGAAAGAGTCATTTATCATCAATCACCATAATTTATTATACTCATCTTTTCACTTATCTCTCTACTATGCTGTCAATTCTTTGAGTATTACCTTTGAGTAACAGCTTTGAATAGTAATAAGAATAGCAGCAATCATTTTTTATTTAGTATTCATTCTACTTTATATGATTAACTTCATTTGAGTTTCACATGTTTATGTTGTAGATACTATTATAAACCTATTTTACTGTCAGGTACATAGCAGTTTTTTCTTTAAGATTTATTTCTAGAATTGAAATTACCACATATGGTAATAATTTTTTCACATTTATTTACTTGTGATTTTTAAAATAACCTTTTATTTTTTTAAAGATTTTATTTTATTTTATTTTTATAGAGAGAGGGGATGGGAGGGAGAGAGAGAGGGAGAGAAACATCAATCAGTTGCCTGTTGCAGGCCCCCAACTGGGGACCTGGCCCACAACCCAGGCATGTGCCCTGACCTTTCGATTCACAGGCCAGTTCTTAACCCACTGAGCCACATCAGCTGGGGCTAAAAATAACCTTTATTTTTTAGAACAGTTTTAATTTAAATAAAAATTACAGAGAGAATACAGAGTTCCCACATACCCCACACTCAGTTTCCCTTATGCTAACACCTTACATTAGTATGATGCCTTTGTCACAATTACTGAACTAATATTGAGTCAGTACTTTATTCATATTTTCTTAGTTTTTAACCTAGTGTTCTTTCTCTGTTCCAGGATCCCATCGTGGATACTATATTACTTTTAGTTTTCATGTCTTCCCTTTTTTTTTTCTTCCATCTAGCAGTTTCCTCTTATTCCTTACAAATCCTGAGTCAGGTGTTATGGTTCCTGCTCTGCAGATAAATAGACTGAATTACAGGTTAAGGCACATAGTTAAGGTCACACAATTAGGTAGAGACTACACTTGGATTTAAATTGAAGTCCAAATTGGCTCCTAAGCCTTAGCTCTTATATGCTCTGCTGGGCTTCCTGGGGACAAGGTACTGCTCTCTACAGGACTCTCAGGCCTCCACCAGAAGCTGCAAGGCCGTCCAGAGGGCAGGCAGCTGGGTACACACTGTGCTACCCACTTTGTGCTTCTCTCCATAGTTTCAATTCATGTCACCCACACAGGCCCAGGGTCCTTCTGGGGCTACACACCACTTGGAGTAGTCTTCTGTGGTATTGAAGGTGGGCCCAGCTGGCCCAGAGAAGGATACCTGGGTCAGTCAAGCGCTTGCTGGGCCCCAGAGCAGTTGGAGCACAGGATGCTACTCGGGTGTTGCCAGTACAGGACCTGCAGATTGGGGCAAGGGCTTCCACCAACCAGCCAGAGTATAGGTCATCTCCAAACTTTCAAAATTTGGCAAAGCTCTGGAAGGTGACCCTGCCTTTGATGTGAGTGTTACGCTGTTGTTCCAGAGTCCATGGTGAGCGTGGTGGCCCTTGACCATGTCCTCTACATTGGGTAATTTCTTGATGAAGACCCCTTCCAGCTTGTAGTCTTACACCTGAGGGTAGGTATAATTCAGCTGTCTGCCAGTCTCTGAGAACTGGTCAAGGGAAAGGATGTGCAGAGCAGGGCCTGTCCACATTTTGGGGCCTAAGGAGGCCGTCTGTATGTAGCACATGTAGGAAACCTGGAACACTGTGGAGCAGCAAGAAGCTCCCTTCTTCATCCAGAAGCAGCACATTCTTCATGTGCCCCTGGCTAGAAGAGTTCTGAGTCCTGAAGTCATGAAGTGTTTGGTCGTTGTAAAGTAGATAGGCGAACTGACTGGTGTTCCTGTACAGTGGCAGCAAGCTGCGGTCTATGGCTCCCTCCAAGCTGTCAACGGACCCCGTACTGTCGTGCCAAAACTCTGAGCCCTCATCCAAATACTTGTACTGCAGCCCTCTCTGAGCCCCAGCCCTCTGCCTCCTGGAGGCCGGCAGCTTGTGGACTGCAAAACAATCCACAGGCTGCCCTGAGTCAGTGAAACAGGTCAGGGTTCTTGCAGGAATGTATAGCAGTGTGGCCAGGAGCAGCGTGGCTGTGGCACTGGATCTCTAGATTACGAGTTGGGCCAGGCCCAGTCTCTGGTCACTTTGCTTTCCCTAAACCCTCCTGGAAACCTGGGGGCGGGATCCCACAGGATGGAACCTTACCTCCCTGCCCTCCCTCACCCCGCTTTCATGTCTTCTTAGGTCTCTCTTGGCTATGACAGTTTCTCAAACTTCCTCAGCTTTTGATGGCCTTGATAATTTTGAGGAGTACAAATTAGGTAT